TGCGATAAAAGAAGGCATACTGATATTGAGTACTTTTAGATAAATGTAAAACAGCTTGATTTAAAAAGATGAAAATTGTAGTCGACGGACATATTTCAAATCCCGGCGTTGGTAATTTATTCTCGTTTTGTACTATTTCTTTTTTTTTTTATACCTCTAGTTGTATGTCAAGTCCATGTTGACACTATCGATTTGTACCATGTAAACAAGTAATATCTGTGACAGGTTTCTCGGAGAAAATATAGCACTAACCAAGTAAACCTTATTTTCAGGAGAAATAATATACAGTCTGGTTCGCAAAGTTCAACAAGGTTACAATATAAATTTGATTTGAAACCGAAAGATGGGATAAACAGGAAAAATGTTCATTAAAGCGTTTCAAATATATGATCGGAATATTCAAGTTCAGTACATTAAAATCTCGCAAACATGAAAATTTGATGCTGGTCCGCACAGATGCTGATGTATTTCCTATTGAGGAAGTAATAACGTATGCAATATAACCGATGAACTATCAAATTATTAAGTAAGGCCGCAGAAGCTATCAACCTAAACATCGTAGTAATAATAATAATAATAATATATATATATATATATATATATATATATATATATATATATATATATATATATATATTATCTGTTTGTGACTGGAAGGGATAATTTGAGGAGGATATAATCCAGGAAGAGCTCAATGTAGATTACAGAGCAATATAATGTTAAGAAGAAGACGGAGACTTTAATTATTCATTTGAATTTATATTTTGTTATTTCATGAACACCGAGATGTTCAGCTTATGACAACGAATACCTGGTCCGCGAATGGAGAAAGCAAAACGGACAGACACTTTGGTTTGGTAGTGGGGAGGGAGGGTGAAATATAAGGGTTGGCTAAAGATATGGCTTTCAGATTAATGGTTAGTAGTAGTCGGTTTTATCAACCAAATATTTACACTAGGCTTATTGGATTTTAATATTCCTTTGTATGTTAATTAGGCCGATACTTTTTTTTATTGTTTTTATGCAGGATAAATCATGTCGATTCAAATTAATTCAATTAAGTGGATCTTAATCTAAATAAAAGTTGGTGTTACTATGGTAAATGTTAAGCATTTGTGTTTTGGCCGAAGTCTTATAGACAGTGAAGACATTTATAAGAGGAGTGGAAGGATTGGGGAAGAGGAGGGTAAGAAGTTAAAGGCGTGGTAGTGGTAGCTTTAGTAGTGATATATATATATATATATGTTAAGAAATGGACGAGGTCCGACAATTTATTTATTAAAGACATTTTTATTTATGTTTAACGTTGTTATTTTATAGATACAAGTATTTAAGATAAACAGTATTAAATAACATTTACCGGCCTGAATGTCCGAGAAATTTTCATAGAAAATATTCTTTCATAGACAGGATTCGAACCTGCATCCTATACGGAACTGTCATATACGCTGACATGCCTTAACCACTCGGCCACCATGAACCTTATGGTAGACAAGGTCGAATTTACTGTTATAAACTACAATCTTCCATGAATCTCGTACATTCATAACTGCTCTGGCGTATCGAATGTAAACAAATGACGTCATATGTTAAGAAATGGACGAGGTCCGACAATTTATTTATTAAAGACATTCAGGCCGGTAAATGTTATTTAATACTGTTTATCATAAACAGAGCATTTGGTCTTTATCTATAAAATAACAACGTTAAACATAAATAAAATGTCTTTATATATATATATATATATATATATATATATATATATATATATATATTAACTAAAACTTTTTTTTATATCACGTCGCCAAGAGGTTTTGAGATGGAATAATTGCAAAAAATATTTTTCTAGAAATTCCAAAGAGCGTAGATGTTAAAACGAAAATCGCTAAATATAAAGGTGGTAAAATCGCCGATGAGGATTAATCACGAGGATCTCTAAAAAAAAGACCTGTATATGAATGTGGTGGTTCAAGAAATTTTACTCCTTTTTGTTTGTGCCATATATATATATATATATATATATATATATATATATGTGTGTGTGTGTGTGTGTATTTGGGCGGGGTGGCGATGGCGGTGTGTGTGTGTGTGTGCGATATGGATGTGTGTGTATGTTTTCAATTGGGCAAAAGATGAAATGTGAGGCAAATGATGAAGCAAGATAGTGTTGCATTGTTGTTGGAGTCGACCTGCTTGACATGAATCGCAACATTTATTATCATGGTTTTTTTTTAATGATCACGAAAGACGATCACTGCCGCCAATGGAGACGACATTACTGACACCACTGCAGACACACACATATATATATTTATTTGTAAAAAGCATACACTGACACGCATATATATATATATATATATATATATATATATACATATATATGCATGTGATCATTTTATTTTTTATGTATGAAGAGAAGAATCTGAAATGTGTGGATATATATATATATATATGTGTGTGTGTGTGTGTGTGTTTATATATATATATATATATATATATA